TTTTAATTGATTTCAGAGAAAAGAAGGGAGAGGGAATGAGAGACAGAAATAGCAATGATGAGAAAGTGACTACCTTCTGCACCCCTCCCCACTGGGGATCAAGACCACTACCCGGGCATGTGCCCTGACCGGGAATCAAACCGTGACCTCCTGGTTCATAGGTTGACGCTCAACCACAGAGCCATGCCGGTTGGGCAGGCCTTACAAATTTGAGGTGTCAGAGGACAGGGTGTCAGAGGACAGGGTTCATGGATGAGGGAGCAGCTGCAAATTTAGAGAGGAAGCTCTGAAAGAAAAAAAATGTACTGAGAGGTAAGGCCCATAATCTTAGTATCAACTCTGCCCAAATTCTTAGTGACAGCTAACTATAGAGGTACAGGGAAAATCTCTCAGGCATTAGCTTACAAAAGCAATAGCTGTAAGCTGAAAGAACTGAGCAAAGACAAAGACTAACAGAAGAAATAATGTGTAGTTTGAGACCAGACAAGTTAACTGCCACTACAACAACAACAAAGCAATTCTTATAGAACATCATAGAATCTAGAATGACTAAAATGTAAATCAAGCAGAACTAGCCAAAAAAAGTCCATAGTCAAAGTAAAATGGAATACACAAAAGTATTTGATTAACAAAAGAAAGTACAAAATTCCAACAAAGGAAAGCCCATTCTTTCTACCAAACATTTAAAGAAGAATTAATACCAAAATTTCTGACTCTTCCAAAAAAAAATGAAGAGGAGGCAACACTTCCTAACTCATTATATTAGGTCAACATTACCCTGATACCAAAGCCAGGCAAAGACACATCACAAAAAAACAACAGGCCAGTGTCCATTATAAATATAGATACAAAAATCCTCAACAATATACTAGCAAACTGAACACAGCAGGACATTAAGCACCATGACTAAGTGGGATTTACTCCCTGGAATGCAAGGATGGTTCATCATCCTGGAAAGCCAATCAATATAATACACCACATTAACAGAATGAAGAGGGGGAAAAACACATAATCATCTCAATTGATGAAAAACCATTTGACAAAATTCAACACCCTTTCACGATCAAAACAATAAATTAGAAATCGAAGAGAACTTCCTCTGCATAATAAAGACCATACATAAAAAAAGAAACCACAGCTAATATCATACTTAACGATGAAAGACTTAAAGCTTTTCCCTGAGATCAAGAACAAGAAAAGAACTACTTCTGTTCAACATAGTAGTGGAAGTTATAGACTGTGCAATTAGGCAAGAAAAAAAAAAGGCATTCAACAGGAGATCGAGGTTTATTCCTGGTCAGGGCACATGCCCGGGTTGCAGGCTCAATCCCCAGTGGGGGGGTGCGGGAGGCAGCCAGTCAATGACTCTCTCGTCATTGATGTTTCTCTCTCTCCCTCTCCCTTCCTCTCTCTGAAATCAATAAAGATATATTTTTTTTAAAAAGGCATTCAAAATGGAAAGAAGTAAATTATCTGTTCCCAGATGATAAGATCTTGTATACAGAAGGCCTTAAGAAGATATACACACATAAAGTTAGAGCTAAAAAAATGCATTCAACAAAGTTGCAGGATATAAAATTGACGCACACACAAAAAATCGGTCATATTTCTATACACCAGCAATGAACAATTCAAAAACAAAATTATGAAAACAATCTGATTTATAATAGTATCAAAAACAATAAAATACTTAGGAATAAATTTAGCTAAGGAGGTTGAAAGCATTGCACACTGAAAACTAAAAAAGACTGCCAAAAGAAATTAAAGGTCTAAATAAATGTTCATAAATCAGTTGATTTAATGCTTTAAGGTGACAATACTACTTAACGTGATTTAAAGATCTGACACAATCCCTGTCTATATTGAAATGGCACTTTTCTATAGAAACAGAAAAACCTGAGGACTTCCAGTCAAGATGGTCACGTAGGTAAACGTGGTACTTGAATCTTCCCACAACAACATCAAAAACACAACTAAACTACAGAACAACCTTCCTGCAGAACAGCCTGAAATCTAGCTGAATGTAAGTCCTACAACTAAAGATTTAAAGAAAAAGGCGCATTAAGACTGGTAGGAGGGGTGGAGACGGGGAACCGGTTGATCTCACACCCGTGTTGTGGTTTAAAATCAGGAGAGAGATCTTGGCTGCAGAGGTCCCCCCAGAGGAACAAGGAGGGGTCCCAGCCCCACACCAGGCCCCCCAACCAAGGGTTCCAGTGCCAGGAAGACAAGTCCCCGTAACTTCTTGCTGTAAAAGCCATCAAGGGATTGTGGCTGAGAGGGAGGCTGCTGGAGTCCCAGGCAGTTCCTCTTAAGGGCCTGCATATGGACTTACTTGGACTCTCTCCCTCTGAGCTACAGTGGCAGCTTTCTGCCAGACAAGTGCTGGCAGAGGCCATTGTTCCCTTTCTTAGGCGCCCCCCCTTCCCCACAGAGCCAACAGGAAGGCACTTATATCCGAGTCTCCATCAACCAGGCTCACACTGTTTGCCCCACCCTGATGATTCCGAGATCCAAACTGTGGGCTCATCCAATCCCTTTCCACTGGCTTTTCTGTACAACTGGCCTATCTTGCCTCATGCTTTGGATTTTTCTTTTTTTTTTCTTTTCTTTTTTACCCTCAGCCAAGGATCTGTTTAATTTATTTTAGAGACCTCCCCTAAAAACCTAGCCTTTAAAATCCCTCAAAAGGAAGGTCCCAAAGAGCACTCTCCCTACCTGGAGCACACCCATCCTTTCCACCTTCTCACTCCCTCTCTCCTTTCCCCATGGGCATGTATCTTAACCAAGGCAGCTATTGGCAGCGACACCTCCTCCCAGGCAAACCCCCTGAAACTGTTCCCAGTTTCATTGACTTCTTAGTGAGTCAAAACAGCCCAGCCTTGGCTCATTTCCCCACCTAGTCCCTCTCCTGTTACTCTAGGCCCTTCCTTGTTTCACCGTCCCCAGCCTTAATAAGCATCCTCTAAAATTCACCTGGACTTCTGTTGTGACATTTTTCCTACATGAAGTCAAGAACCCACGCACTACCGGGAAGCCCTAGGCAGACCCACTAAGGGCCAGGTCCCCTTTCCGGTAACATTATGACTCCAACTGTTGGCCATATCCCATGACTATCTGATGACCATGAGTCAGCACAAACTACCCACTGTTCTTACCTTACAACCCCACTTGCTGACCACTGAGTCAACTGACAGTTGAAAGTCCAATTGTCTCCATCACTCAGAAAATGAATGATGTAAGTATATGATTTTCTTCCCCTAGCAACCCAACCCTTTGCTCCTTGTAACTTTCATCTTTAAAACTTTTACATTATTTTTCCCACCTCAGAGCAAGTCTTTGGTTCATGCCAGGCTATGTTCTCTGATTTGCAAATCATATCAGAATAAAACTCTATTTTAATTCCTCAGAAGTGTCCTGTGGAACTTTTGTTTACAAAGTTAAACTACTTACCACTCTTAGAAGAACTCACAGGGAGAAGTAATGTCCTAGATTTGGCAATAATTTATTTTTTTTAATTGATTTGAGAGAGAGAGATTTTTTGATCCACTTATTTTATGCATTCATTGGTTGATTCTTGTATGTGCCCTGACCGATGATTAAACCTACAACCTTGTCATATCAGGGCGATGCTCTGACCAACTGAGACACTGGGCCAGGGGCCAATAGTTTAAGTGTTACACCAAAAGCACAGGGAACAAAAGAAAAAACAGATTAAGTTGGACTTCATCAAAATAAAAACTTCTGCACCAAAGGATACTATCAAAAGACTGAAAAGGCAACTCATAGACTGTGAGAAAATATTTGTTAATCATATATCTGATGAGAAACTAGTATTCAGAAGATATTTAGAATTCAACAACTACACAGAACCACCAACCCATTTTTAAAATGGGCAAAGAACTTGAAAAGACATTTCTTTAAGTAAATATACAAATAAGCACAAGCAAACATGTTCAACATCATTAGTCATTAGGGAAATGCAAATCAAAACCATGGGATGCTATTTCATCCCCATGAGTGTGAAAATTATTTTTTAGAAATGGAAAATAACAGGTGTTTATGAGGATGTGGAAAGACTGAAACCCTTGTGCATTGTTGGTGAACACGTAAAATGGGCAGCTGCTGTGGAATACAGTTTGGCAGATTCTCAAAATGTTAAACATGGAATTACCACATGAGTCAGCAATTCCACACCTGGGTATATATATCCAAATGAACTGTAAATGGAGACTCGGATAGTACTTTTACACCAATGTTCACAGTCAACAGCCAAAAGTATCACCAATGGATGAATAAACAAAATGTGGCATATACATACAATGCAATATTACTCAGCTATAAAAATGGAATGAAATTCTGATACATGCTACAACATAGATTAATCTAAAAAAATATGCTAAATGAAATAAGCCAGACACAAAAGGACAAATAGTGTATGATCCCACTTGTATAAAGTATCTATAATAGGCAAATTCATAGACACAGAAAATAGAACAGAAGTTACCAAGGAGTGAGGGAAGGGGACAGAGGGGAGTTATAGTTTGATGAAAGTAGAGTTTCTTTATGAGATGATAAAAGGTTCTGGAAATAGATAGTGTGGTGATACAACATTGTGAATGTACTTAATGACACTATGTTTTACACTTAAAAATTGTTTTTAAAAAAGGCCAAAAAAAAAAAGCAGGAAAAACAAGAACAAAAGAAAAAAGATGACAAATACAGAATATATTAGAAAAATGGCAAACTTAATCCAACCATATCAATAATTAGTAAAAACATAAATGAATTAAATACTCCAAATAAAAGACTAAAGAAAGCCCTCCTGATTCAAGTCAGCCCCAGACCTTGCACCCATGGTTCCAGGTTTTAGTCCATTGCTCAGCCCCTCAATTCCAGAACTCCATTCTAAAAGCTTCAAAATCTCCATCCCTGAGACCAACCCATTTTGGAGGATACTTCTCTCTCCCATCCTTCCAGCCCATGCCATTGACTCCAAAATGACTTCTTCATGCTTTTCTCCCCTAGAGCCCCCAGTCCCTCCAAGAACCCCTGAATCCCAGGCCTCCGCCGGCCCACCTCCTCCCTCACCCCCACATCTTACGGACTCAGCCTTACCACCCTCTCCCTCAAGTCTCCAGACCCCTATTCCCCCACCACCACCACTGCCACCTCCACCCCCTGTCACGGGTGCTGCTCCCCATCATGTCTTTGGCCTGGAAAAGAGCCAGCTTCTGAAAGAGGCCTTGGAGAAGGCCGACCCAGTCCCCAGCAGCAGAGAAGATGTGAAGAGGCTCCTAGAGCATCACAAGGACCATTTCAGAAGTGACTTGCAGTGGATCCTCATCTGTACAGACCTACCCTCCCTCATAAAAGAAGGCCCTCAGTGTGGGCTGGTGGACCTGTGGATGGCAGGCACTCTCCTGGTGCCACCCAGAGGTATCCCCCTGGAGATACTCATGCAGATGGCCATGGAGAGAGGCTACACGGCCCAGGGAGAGATGTTCTCCGTGGCCGACATGGGCAGGCTGGCTGAGAGGCACTGGGCTGCCAAGCTGAGCTGCTCCAGGGAGGCCTGGGTGGTCCCAACAGAGACTGTGTGCTGCAGCACCTTGTCACTGGACATCCCTTGCTCATCCCCTACGATGAAGACTTCAAGCACGAGCCATATCGGAGAAGGGGCCACAAGGCCCACTGGGCAGTGAGCGCAGGGGTCCTGCTGGGTGTGCAGGGTGTGCCAAGCCCCGGCTATGCTGAGGACCCCGAGCTGCCAGGCCTATTTCACCCAGTGCCCAGCATGCCCCACCAGCCACCATCCCTGCCAGAGGAAGACTCGCTGGGAGCAGTCTATCTTCTCTCCAAGCAGGGCAAGAGAAGGGGCTATGACCAAGTTCGGGATAGCAACCTGCAGCTGACGGACTTCTCACCCTTTCGGGCCACTGATGGCCAGGCATATGTGGTGCCTGCTGGTGGGGTACAGGCTGGCCTTTGTGGCCAGGCCCTGCTCCTCAGACCACTAGCCTGCTGCAGCCCTGAACTGGAGGTGATGGGGCCCAGACCCCAGCTTTTCCCTTTGTGTGACCACCTGAGGGTTTGAGGTGGGTCTCTTGAGGACCTCCAGCCAGAGATCATGCAGGGTCCCCCCAGTCTACTCTTAAGCCTGGGCATCCTCCCAGCTCCCCAAACCCATCCCCTCAGTATTAAGCACCTACTGTGCAGGCTGGGGTTAGACCCAGAAGTTTGGAAGACTAAACTCCAAGTCTCAGCTCACCTTATCTCAGCTCACCTTATCACATTTCCTGCCACCAGCCACAGTGACCTTTCAGGTCCCCAGTGCACCCCACTGCAGCCTTCTGCTGACTGGAACTCCTCAGCTTTCCAGTATGGGAGAGGAAGATACTTCCTCTCAAGGTTCTTTCATCTGGCCTAAGTCTATATGAGACAGGTTAACAAGAAAGTAGCCAAATTTAATACATACATACACATGGGAACCCCACATACATAAGAGGTTCCAAGACAGGGAAGATGAGGTGTATGTGCCATTCTGAACTAAGGATCGTCTTGGGGCTTCAGCGGGAGGAAGATCACTGCAGGATAGTTCAGCAATTAGAAGTTTACCCTGCCCTATAGACAGGTCAGAGAAGGTTATCTCAATCTATGGGCGAGACCCCCTAACTCAATTCTAGGTAGTTACGGGCGGGTGGGGTGGAGGTTGCGCTGAGCCTGTAGTCTTGGTTGCCCTGGCTCACAACAGCCTGCATACCATAGAGGTACATCTTGGAGTGACTTGTTCTGAGCCCCTACACCAGCTTGGCTCATCACTTCCTCATGGATAATTCCCTCAGCCAGGGCTAGGCCCCTCCCCCACATGTGTTCTCCTTTAAAAACAAAAAGGAAATGTTCCTGAGAGCAGTTAAATGTGCCAACCTCTTCACTTGTGTTAATTCATTAACTCCTCCAGTCCTCTAAGGTGCTAGGTCCTGCCCATTTCACAGATGGAGACAGGCTTGGAAGAATGCAATCACTGGCTTAAGGTTACATGGCTTGGCAAGTGGCAGGGTCAGGATTCAAATCAGGCAGTTAGTATCTGCACAGTATAAATAAATAGATAAGTAGATACCTATTTTTAGAGAGATTAGTTTAATGAATACCTGTTGCCTCCGTCTGAAAGGAGAGGAACAGGTCTGTCTTGGCCACCTCTGTGTCTTCAGTACAAAGTGACTCTAGAGAGACTACACAGTATAAGTATAGTGCTTTTTGCTTAAGTGTTTCTAACCAGAAGTGGGGACATCTCCATCCGGGCCCTGGCCCTTCCACCTGCACCTCCCCTTCCCAGCCCTGACAACAGTGGCTGGCACTGTCCTGGGAGGGCTCGGCACTCTCTTGGTCACTACAGTTACCCTGCCTTACCTAGCAGAGCCATCACAACAGGAGCAGCTTGGTGAAGACTTCGAGCCTGCATCTCTACCAAACCCCCCAAACCAGGCACTGTCCTGTTACCCCACCCCAAATGAATGCTCAAGATTATGAGCTTTGAGCCCACACACCCCAGATGCCAAAAAAAAAATAAAATCCACAAGGGGAAAAAAAAAAAAAGACTAAAATTGTGAGAATGAAAAAAAAGCAAAACCTGGTAATATTCTGTCTATAAGAAATATGCTTTAAATATAAGTTCTAAAACAGTTACAGTAATCAAAACATAGTTAAGAGGCATAAGAATAGACAGATAAATGGAACAGAGTAGAATCCAAAAATATACCTACACATGTATGGTCAACTTTCTATAAAAATCCCAATGGAGACAGGCAGGTGGAGAAGGGAAGGTCTTTTCAACAAATCGTACTGGCCCTGGCTGGTTTGGATCAGTGGTTAGAGCGTCAGCCCGCGGACTGAAGGGTCCCGGGTTCGATTCTGGCGAAGGGCACATACTTGGTTGCAGGCTCAATCCCCAACCTGGTCAGGGTGTATGTGGGGGGCAACCAATGGATGTGTGTCTCTCACACTGATGTTTCTCTCCCCCCTCCCCCCCTCCCTCCCTCCCACTCTCTCTGAAAAGCAATGGAAAAAATATCCTCAGGTGAGGATTAAAACAAACACACCAGTCGTACTGGATCAACTGAATATCTTCATGGGGAAAAATAAGCTTCAACCTTTCCCTCACAATATATTAAAAAAAATTACTTTGCCATGAATGCTAGACACTAACACAAAACAAAACTATAAAATTCCTAGGAGAAACTCTTTGCTACCATATGAGAGGAAAAGACAGTCTTATATAGGGCTCCAAAAGCACAAACTATGAAATAAAACCGGATACATTGGGCTTTCTCAAATACTAAAATTTCTGCTCAAAACAAAAGGAAACCATATGTTGGGAGAAAACATTCACAATATAAATATCTGTCAAAAGATTTGTATTCAGAATATATAAAGACCTTTTGCAACAGAGTAAGACAGACACCCAGTTTAAAGGAAGGGCAAATTATCTAGATAGACATATCAAGAAATAAGATAAAATGGAAAAAAAATACAAAGAAGCAGGCTCAATATCATTAGTATTCCTGTAAATGCAAATTAAAATCACAAAGAGATACCACTACACATCTGTTAGACTGGCAAAAATTAAAATGACTCACAATGCTAAGCATTAAAGTATACAGTATAAAGCAAATGGGACTTGCATGCACTGCTGGTAGGAATGTAAAAATGGTACAACCATTTTTTTAAATAATGAAGCATATCTTAAAAAGTTGATCATAATACTTACAGATGACTCAGGAATTCCACTCCTTGGTTTTTACCTAAGAGCACTAAAAGTAAATGTCCATAGAAGCTTTATTCACAATAGCCAAAAAGTGAAATCAACCCAAATACCCATCAAAAGCGGAGTGGATAAACATATTGTGACATATGCATCCAGTGAAACACTACCCATCAAATGAATATATACTATATGATTCTATGTACATGAAACTTAAAAAAAAGACAAAATGAAATCTCTAGTAGCCAAAAGTTTGTGTTGGAGGTAGAGAGGCTGACTCAAAAACAAAACAAAACAACTTTTGGGGATGACAGAAATATTGTCTATCTTGACTGTGGTGGTGATCATAACAATGTATTCACACATGTTAAATCCCATTATAGTGTACACTTCAAATGGATACAATAAAGTTAATATTTTTATAAACCAATTTAAAGCTGTCTTTTTTTTGATGTTTCCCAAGTAAGGAATACTCACTGTACTTTCAATCTGATACCCAAGTTTTTCTTTCAGTTCCTTGATTCAAATCCATCTTTAGTCCAGCACCATTTGGGAAGTAAGGGACTATGCTTAAAGTACAATAGAAATGTACCTTTAAAATAATAAATAAATAAAGGAGCAAGAAGAAATGGGTGAGGTAGATTGGAAGGAAGAAAGGAAGACAAAGAAAGATGGAAAGAAGGGAGAGAGGGGAGCATGAAGAGACAGATGATGAGAGAAGAGAAATGAAAGATTTGATAAAATCATATGTATGAATATACTTTTTAAGTTATAAAGGCCACATCAATATAAAGTATTATTATTAACATCCAGAAAAGTAAAATAAAAAAAGTGTGGAAAATGAGAAAACTGAATGAAATGGTAGCGATTTGGAGTCTGTTTATTGCAAATAGGCAAGTTGTATATCTCAACTTAAAAGTTTAAATATAAGGACATTATCTAATCTCCACTTCTAGTTCCTCCTTTTCATCTGCATTTATTTGCAAAAAACAAACAAACAACACACATACACACAAAAAAACACACACAAAACAAAACAAAAAACCCTTTCTAAAAAGTTTGAAACTTCCCAGCTCACTTTCCTCAAGTCTCCTTAGCCCAGATGAGGTCACATGTCCATACCTAAACAATTACAGAAAAGAATGAAACTATAAAGACCAATCATGATTTAAGCCCTGGAGGAGAAGAGTGACCCCTTCCCTGAGCCCAAAGTTACTAAGAAAATGAAAACTCAATGAGTCCTGAACTCTTCCAGAAAGGAAGAATGGGGGAAAAAGGAATTGGGAGGTCCATCCATAATGTATGCTACACTGAGTATAGATACATATGCTTTGGAAACCAAGTTAAAATGTAAGAGTTGGACCCTGACCAGGTGGCTCAGTAGGAGTGTTGTCCTGTACACCAAAAGATTACAGGTTCAATTCCCCATCAGGATACATACCTAGGTTGCAGGTTTGATCCCCGGCTGAGGTGCATAGAAGGCAACCAATCCTCAGGTGAGGATTAAAAAAAAAAAAAAGGTAAGAGTTGGCATCCTGATTTGAAAAATAAAGATCCTATTCAATTGTTCTTTCCTAAAACATATGAAGGTAGTCTTCAAGAATAGTTGCTGATAAATTGAGCACTTTCCTCAAGAAGCAGCTCTGGATAAACTTGTAAAGTGAACAAGTGAATCTCCAGAGACACAGACCACCTAATTTAGATATGGAGATTTTTCAAAGCAGGTGTTACCAATCCCTGTAACTGATATAGAAAAATCTTTGTGCCCGGCCTTGAGTGGCTCAGTGGTTGAGCGTCGACCTAGGATCCAGGCGATCAGGGTTCGATTCATGCCCGGGTTGAGGGCTCGATCAATGACTCTCTCATCATTGATGTTTCTATCTCTGTCTCTCCCTCTCCCTTCCTCTCTCTGAAATCAATAAAGATATATATATATTTTTTAAATCTTCGTAAATCTCTATGTGCCATCTTATTCTGATTATCATGCCTTCATAATGTTCCCACCAGAATAAATTAGCTTTAGGATATACCACCAGATAACTAACTTGGCCATTTAGAGATATAAGGTATGAACTGACTGAATTTTAGAGAAGTTTGCCAGATATAATGATTTCAGAAGTTTTGTCCAAAATGGAATTATTTTAGTTTTCACATAATTAATATGGAAATAATACAGATCATCACCACTGACCAATAAATATATTCCTAGTTGTGATAATAAAATTATATCATCAGCATTATCTTCCATTTGGATATGGTAGAAAAAAAAACATCTGATTCATTGAAATGAATTTCAAGTCCATGACACAGAATTTAAATAAATGAATATAACTATC